GAGAAGAGAGAGAAGAGGAGAGACGATGAGAGAGAGAGAGAGAGAGAGAATAGAATGTATGAGTGTGTAAGTGCTTATATAGATGTACATATTCATATGATACTTGCCCTAGTAGGATTATCAGCGGTCCTAAGAGGCTTTGTGTGAAATTCTTGGAAACTTGGTTCGCCTAAAGTTGAGTTGATCCAACTTTAGTAAGGGATTACAAAATGTAGTTAAACAATGATTTAACATACATTTAACGAATAAAGGTAGTTTCCTGGAGTTAATTTTTTTTCTCAAAAAGGCTCAAAACTACATATAGGTTTCTCGAAATAAGTGATATATCTGTAATCAGAATGCGTATGGGATTGGACCATAACACAGTGAATATATTATGAAAGTGCACGGCACCAACCGAACGTTACACTAAATTCGTTTCAGGAAAAAAGCTGAAAAATTGAAAAAAATAATATATGGCCATTGATACTGAAATGTGGTGTGTGGTTTCCGGAGATTTAAACACAAAATCATGTTACCGTAAAATCCTTTCACCTTTAATTAAATAACATCAGTATGGATGAGATTTCCAATATAGAAAAAATAGCACATCTGCGCATGAGTACTTTCCTCTTTTCCATGCAAGTTTGTAGTTATCTGAAACAACTCAGCGAAAGTAGAACTGTTCCTAAGTACTTAAGTGGCATCTAGGCCACAATAGGCTGCCAATACTGCCAGTAACTTTCACTTATGGGATCGTCTCGTGCAGGAGCTCTGAGCAGGCGTTGATAAGGGGGCTTTTTAAGTATACCGCGGGTGGGTGGAGAGGATGTGAAAAGGATTCAGTTTAAAAAAGAAAGAGATAGAAGGAATAAAAAACGAAGGAAAGTTGAAGAAAAATATTTGCAAGAAAGATGAAAAAAAAAAAAAAATGCATGCGAGGGCTGGATGTGAAAAGCATAAAACGTTCCATCTGCTTTATGGTGACAATAAACACTAGATTCGTAATAGTTATGTAACGACTTTGTAAAGCATAGAAGCGCTGTAACGATCCGTTGATTTTGAAACATTTTACATAAATATCTGAAATCTAAAGCAGTAGCGTTATTTAAGTAACCTTATTGTACATTTGGAAATTTATACCTTAAAGTCGTATTTTTCCTATAGATGATCTGATTATGTGCTTAAGAGGTATTAAGGTCAGGCATGGCACAAAAAGGAGATGAAAGGAAAATATAAAATACATTCACTCCTTTAAATTCTTAGAACCTTGAAATCTGTCAATGACGTGAGAAGATTTAACGTCAGGATCAAGCTTTACGTAGAAATGAAAACGAAACGGTAATAAACTTGTGAAAGAAAATTAAGAATAAAAAGCGAAGGAAAAGAATAACGAGAAAAGAAGAGAATGAGAGAAATATTCCCCTCAAATCAAAGAGGAATGAATAAAAACCCGACAAATAGGATAGATTATGAAAATATAAGAAGAATAGGACCAAAAGAGATAAAAAAGAAAACGAAAAAGAAAAGAATGAAATTATTAAAACAAAAACAAATATATAAAAGAAAAAAAAAGATAAATATCGCAAAAAGAAAGACAAGAAGGTAATGATTATGTAAAAAAAAAAAAAAAAAACGGAGAAAAGAAACAAAATGAAAGAAAAAGGCAGAAAGAAACGCGAAAATGCAAAATAAAATAGAATAAAAAATAGAATACTAACGAGAGAAAATATCCCCTCACCCGACAAAAAAGGATACAAACAAGAATGAAAGAAAACACTTTTCAAATACCGTAAAAAAGACAGTCATTGGGCGCCTTCTAACTGGGGATTCTGTCACAGCCAACTAGCCGCCACTCACTCCCAGACATCGGTCGGTCGCCTCTTTAAATCAACG